CTTTTGTGGTGTTCCAAGTAGACAGATTGCAATCGTCGGAACTTCATGTTCAGTACCTACCAATGATATGATGTTTTAACAAAAAACCCTGTTTCTATACGGTGGCTAGTAAACTGCTAGCTTTCAAAACCGCCGCCGCCAAGAATAACATTCTTCGGTCCATTCTCCGGATTCGCACAGCGTAACTCACCGTCCCCTTGCTTCTAATAGCCTTGAGGACCTGTGTGTAAGCAGGCCCCGGCTCCATTGTACGTTAGCATCTGCTGTGCATGGGCGTAGAACCGAACCACTTTGTTGGGTCGAACAAAAACACAACAAACATACGTGATTCCATAGGCATATATCAAAAAAATAAACCCTCCGGAGGATCGGCAGGAGAATTTTAATCATGCCGTCGGTGTTGAAGGCCAGCAGTTGGCTAGCACACCCATAATAAGAGGATTTATTATGTTGCTTGCTCATATGTACGACAAGTGTTACGGGGCTATGTCTGCTTAAATGGCCCCTTCGGCTACTAGAAGCAAGGCAACTGTGTGACTACGCCATGTGAATCCGAAGGATACTGGATATTTTATCTCCAAGTTTTGTTGTATACGTGACCAAATTCTGACCTTCTGGCACAAAAGTCATCATCAGAGATATTTCGCAAATGAAAATAATTCATTTTTGTTTCATCGTTGTTTCTCTTCACGGTTGTTGTCTTCACAGTTCAAGAACGAGTTCGTTCAATTGTAAGAATCGGCGACAGCACAGAGGTAAGAGACAGGCTTCGTAGGTAAGAGTTCGATTCCCAAGAAAGTTCTCTGCATTTGCTAAATGCTTTGGACAGCGAATTTGTCCAACTCTGCTTCGATACAGTCTGATGAGCAACAAATAGCTAGATGTCCATTTGTAAACAAAGTACAACGTGTTGTTCTGGTCTAGTTTGGCATACCTCAATGAGCGGAAAGAACGGTTTTGCTGACTCTGCGAGTATTGCAGGGGGTTCGGCTTAAAATTGCTGAGTATTCAATATGATTATCATCATTTACTCGTAAACCCTTTATTATTATCATCTTTATTTGACTCATCCAGGTCAATGTATGTCACGAAAAGAGTTTGGGCCGATACGTCAATTAGAGATTTATCCTCCTGATACACCTATTGCATTATGTTCCGTATAATAAGCCATTGTTTAATAAGCTGCTGTGTTTGCGCTCTGATGATTAGTGTTTGTATGATCGGTCTGTTGTACCAACCAGGGAATCTCGTTTTGCCACATTAACGTAATTTACTTCACGAGGACCTCGACGATTATGAATCAGAAGAAAAATCGTCCATGATTTTATAAGCTTTTTGATGGCATTTGTATTTCTATAAAAATGATTTGTCCTCCGTTGGCTGACGATAGAAATTCATTTTCATACTGGCTTTGCTGCTTTGAGCTTGACTTTTTCTGTTGACTGATCGAGTTCTAAACATGGTCAGTTATGTGAAAAGCGATATATAGAAAGTAGCTCTACGGTTTTGGAGGGGAACGTAAACAGATTTCTAACTTTGCGTTCTCGCTTTCCTCTGATTTCGTCAAACCTCTCCTCTGCGGATGCTAGCAAGGTTCAATACGACTATACTGTGATCAAGCATTAGATATCATCGTGCTTCTTTATTTTCGTTTCAGGGGTAAATAAAGTCAGATGACCCTGATCTTTTCGCTCATGTTTGTAGTTCAAGACATTTCACGCTGCCACTGCCAAGCATTTTCGGATTAGTTTCAGTTTGTGTCGGTCTTTCACTGTAGTCTGTTTCTTCTCTGGCTTATTTCATTAGTATTTTGAACTGTGCTCCGAAAAAAGAGTTTTTCAGCTATGAATCCTGTCGACGAGACGGTTTTGTGTGCTGTAGCACCTTCCCCATTTTCTGAAACCCTTACAGTAACAGATGGTGATGAGGATCAAAAACAAGCGACGCTGCTCTGCTGCACTCCGACGAATAAATCTGCATCAGCTGACTGAGTCAGTGCTTGCGTAGGGTCCCAGTCAAACAAATTCGGCGATGCACAACTTTCAGACCGATGATGGGAATAAATTTTTTTTTTGCATTTAACGCCTAACGCCTTAAAGCTGACTGTGGCGCCTGTGCCTGACGACAGACGACGG